GGGAAGCCAGATTTACTTGACCGAGTGATTCACTTAACAACTGTGGCAAAAGGTCGTAATGCTGGGCGCGACTCACTTAACAACAGAAATTCTGGTCATGATTAAGATCATAAATTGAGGACTACCTTACTTATTACTATTCTGTTTGCTATGTTGAGAGAAAGTGTTTGCATCAAGACTAGTCAGAAAAAAGTTTTGGATGAGCCAAAACATGAAGCTGTATTACACTGCATCAGAGTTCTGTAAACATTTATATCAGTGTTTTTCCAATTTGGCAACCTTAAGCAATATAGACCTCAACTTTCAGTATTCCCCATCTATTACATTGGCAATCAAATGCTGAGCATAAAACCTCAGCATAACCAGTCAAAGATTTCTAGCTTTGCAAAAATCTGAGCTTGGCAATGTTTATTCATACATTTTGCCAAGCTTATACAACTGCACTGAAATGGCTTTCAATATTTCATGCTAATAAAATGAGTTCTTCTCCAGAACATGTACACCAGTGGTGGGATTCAAATTTTTTTGCTGACGGTTCTGTGGGCGTGGCTAGGTGGGCATGGCCATATGACTGGGTTGGCATGGCTTTTTTGCAGGCTCCCCTCCCCCGGTTTTTTGGGCCTTCTGGGCCTGGGGCAAGCCTCCTGGGGGGGCGTTGTTGCTCCCAGGAAGCTTCCCTGGGGCCCAGGAAGGCAAAAAATACTGAATTGATTAGGCGTGGGGAGTCTCTTTTGGATCACACATGAATTCTTAATTTTAATTCTGGAAGAATTAGTGACGTAAAAAATGAGGGAAACAAGACAGAACTTGAAATGTTCCGACAGAATCAAGGCCATTTACTAGGATGTATATATAAACTCATATGGAGACTGAAGAAATAAAAACTGGATGATAAAATGTTTTAAACCTTAAAGAAACAATCACAAACCAACAAAGGGAAGAATTATGGAATATAACATTTAGTCTAGGTTGTAAGTTATGAGGAAACCAATACAAAACATTTTATAGATGGTATACAACTCTGTCAATAATTGCCAGCGTTGACAAATCATATAATAGTAATTATTGCAAATGTCATCAAACTGAAAAAACATCTTATCAGATGTAGTAGATATGTAAAAAGCCCCCAGAGTACTAGAAAGAAACACAGCATTATTCAGAGAATTTTAGAAATCAGATTTGACATGAAGCCACAATTCTTCTTACTATGCATAATTCCAGAACATGAACAAAAACAATCACCAAGATACTGTTTACGTCAGCAAGGATAAATTTAGCCCAACATTGAAAAAGGAACGTGTTACTGAAAATATCAGACTGGAAACTTAAATTTGAGAGAATATGCAGTAATAGCAAAAGTAACAGCATATATTCACAACAGAAGTTAAATCAAATTTAAGCAAGAATGGGTCCCATACATATTACATATTCCACACTATACAGTAAATAAAATATAAGTATCCAGAGTACAACTTTTAAGAAGAAAAAGAACTGATTTCAATAAGCTTTTAAGAATGTCTATAAACATTGTATGTTAAGCAAAGTATGACAAATAGTTAAAAACTAACGCTTTATCTATACTCTTTTCAGTAGGTAGTCTTTGTATTCTTAAAGAACAAAGAGTGAACATTTAGGCTAAACTCGATATCAAAATTCCTTCTGTTAAAATGTATTGTACTTAAATGCAACTTAATGTTTTTAGTGGTCGATTTCTAGTTAAAGATATACTGAGCACTAACTGTACAATTTTAACCATTACTTTGTCCATTTACATATTTCTCTGATTTTCCCCCCTTTCTCCTTTTGCTTACTTGCTTGTTTCTTTTAAAAATATTAATAAAAATTTAAAAGATCACGTATGATTTCTTCACAAGCTTTTACACCCCTCTATGTGAAAAAAAAAATCAATATTAAAAGCAATTTAAAAGAACAACATAACTAAGAATTTCTGTGCCTGTTTTGGCTGGCAGGGTGCTGCAAAAAGGCTGTCCAGGCCAAAAATGGGGTGCACAGGGATTGCACACAGCCTTCCCCTCGCTGCCCCATTTTGGCCAGCAGGGTGCTGCAGGAGGTGTCTGTCCCTCCTCCCCACACAGCCGGCCCACGGAAGACAACTACAATGCGGACCCGGCTCTCGAAGAAACCCAGTTTGACACCCTTGTGCTATACACTACATAAAGTGTATTTAAATGCTGCATATAGTGTATTTAAATGTCTGATTACTTAAATTATGGTCACCAACTGGTGGTCCGTGACAAATTTTTGGTGGTCCGCAGAGAAATGTCACCCCCAAAGCAATTAATCCAGGCTGCGTGGGAACACAAGGCTTGTGTCGCTTGCATTGCGAACAATACGAGGTAGTGAGGAGAGGGGGGAAAGAGTGGAGGGGGGGCACCCATGCACCTTGCCTGGCCACTGGGCTGCTTCTTTCCTCTTCTTCCTTTGGGACCTTGCAAGGCATCCTGCTCCAAGAGGCTGCACCGGCAAAGACTCATTTCTGGCAGAGTTTGGGGGAAGAGACTTCTGCTGCTTCTGCTGCTTTCCTTGCATGAAGGAAAGCAGTTCTGTTCCTACCGATAGATCACTGATTACCGTCTCCAGTTCTGTTCTCTCTTCCCCCCGAGAACAGAACTGGAGACGGTAAACAATGATCAATTGGTAGGAAAACAGGGTGGGGGATTTTCCTGCAGACTTTTTGGGGGATTACAGAGACCCTGGGAAAATCCCCAAAAAAGTCTGCAGGAAAATCCCCCACCCTGTTTTCCTACCAATCGTTCTTTATTTGGGAGCTCAGAATACCATCTCTCTCTCTCCCCCCTCCCCCCAAGAACAGAGCTGAAAAGCAGGTTAGGAATATGATTGCCTTGGAGGGAATGGGTGTGTGTGAGGGAGAGAGAGAGTGTGTGTGTGTGTGTGTGTGTGTGTGTGTGTGAGAGAGAGAGAGAGAGAGAGAGAGAGAGAGAGAGATAACATAACCGCCAGCCCTCCAAGGTTAGATCAGATCTCTTTCTCACCCACCATCGTCAGCAAGCCATCATCAGTCAAAATTCATATTAGTGGTCTGCAGGATTTAAAATTATGAGTTTGGTGGTCCCTAGCAACCTCTGTTCTAGCACATTACCTTGCAAAGAGGCACAGAAATTCGAACCTTGATTTCATTATAAACTGGGCTTCTATTTGATTATGCACTGGAACCCTTTTCATAATTTAATGTTATATAGTAATAAATTGCTTAGCAGAGCTTGGTGTCTTGGAGGTCTCTGCAGTTCCTTGTCTTGCTGGCTAAGAAGTCATACCATTTATAATTTCCCTGTGCTACTGGTTGAAACAAAACTATACAGCTACTTTTATTTTGGCACACCCAGCATACATGGAACACTTTTCTTGTCCTTTGTAGTATTTTATTATTCACACTGTATTTTATTGTTGTTATAATATAAGATGCCTGGAGTTATCTGGAATCATACAGCATCTAAATAGAATAATATTTAATATTTAATTCTCAGAGAATTACTGGCTCTTCTGAAACTTGCTATGCTTGAAATAAATTATGCTGATATTTTAATAAACATGTCTTATCAGGATATAAAGAAGGGTGCTTAAATCTTTGCTCAAAACATAACATTTGCATCCGAGTGCTGCAAATTACATGAACATAAACTAAAAAACCTTTTATTTAAAACATCTGCTGCTTTAAATAAAAAGATAGTTTATGAATAACAGCTTTTACTTGTAAGATGTTGCAGATTATTTTAAGAATCCATTAACTCATAACTACCATACCAGGATAGCTACTCTAGTCAAATATGGTTAAAACTGGATTTGAGAAATGGCAGGATCAACATTGGGCATTGTCCTATTCACACCTTTTTCCAGTACAAACTATTATAAAATCTGATGATGATTCAGAACATATGAATAGGAACACATTTTCACATTACTTTCCAGCAATTAGAGCTATATTGGTCCTGAAAATACTTATAAAAGAATACCTCATCATCCTAAAAGAATCTACATGGACTAATATGTACCATTCACATTCAATGTAACTATCCCATATATTATTGGCTTGTCCCACAAAATGTATATATGGCTTTTGTCTGCCCTCTAGACAAATATAGCCCCAATTCCTGGATTCCCCTGAAGTCCCTTTGTGAAACTGTGGAAAGGTGTACATTTCTTCATGAACTAATCCTATAGCACAGTGGTGGCAAACATTTTCAGCACTGAGTGATGAAACGGGAGTGTGCACGCTGGAATCTGGAAGAGCAGTGTGTTGGCACACCGTGCGGGAGTGCCGAAAACCTGAAGCTCAACCTTCAGGTGTGCGCATGCGTGCTGGTCACCTGGTTTCTAATGTGCATGCATGCACGGAGACCAGGTGGCCGGCATACGCATGCACACCAGGGAGCTGTTCTTCTGGTTTCCAGCGCTCCCGCGTGTGTGAAGACCAGCTGGCTGGCAAAGACCAGCTGCACGTGCTGAATCCTGGAAAAGCAACGGGCGACGGCTGGTGTGCCCGGAGAAATGGCTCCGCGTGCCATTTCCAGCACGTGTGCTATAGGTTCACCATCATGGCTATAGGACCATAAAACCTGTTCCTGCACTAATGACTGCTATCTTCTGGAGGCCCAAATTCTATATGCTTCAAGTGCTGGCAACATTAAAAAAAAAAACCTGTCTTTTACAAGAAACTTCAAAGAACTGTGACCATGAAGCTAAATTGTAACACTGCCCAAGAATAAATAAATGAAAGCCAAATAAACATCAACTTAACTTACCTTATATGCCAGAAGAAAATTAGACACAAAAAGAAATCTAAAAAGAAATTGGGTTTTAACAGATTCTGCTCCTGGGACCAGAAACTTAAAATAATCATATTAAACATGCCAAAAATGGATTTGAACATTGACACGTAACCATGCTCTTCCAGTGTTATACATAAAATATACATCTCAAATGAATTATGCCCAATCCCATTCCACTATAATGAATCTCACCTGGTAAACATCCTTGTTCCATAGATGTAGGCTGGAGAACCCAAAACCCTCTCTTGGGGGAGGGGGGCCTCTTGGCACCCCCCTCCCCCTTCCAAGCTGCTTCTTGAAGAATCAGTGTAAACAGGTGGAGCAAAATGAGTGGTGTTTCTTTAACTGCCTAGATAGATCTTCTTATGCCGGAAATATTAAAAAGTATTTGTGTAATCCTAGCCACTACTTCAGGGTTTGTGACTTGATTTTCTGATCCCAAGATAATTCCCTTCAAGTCTTTAAGGTTCTTAAAGATTTTTCCATCTCATAACGTAGATGTCCATTCTATAGTACGTGTACTGTTGAGTGCACAAGGCACAATGTCCCATTATCATATCCTGGCTGACTCCTCAGATCTTGTCTTCGAACTTAAATCTGTCCATGGAGTAGTTTTCAAAGGCAAACGCAAATAAGCTTAATTGTTCTGGATTTAAACTATCCATACAGGGTCTTCTTCCAGTTGTTCCAGCCTCAGCCACCATGCCCTGCATAACATGTAAATCTGGATTAGAAAACATGTCTGATCTTGGGATAAGTTACTGCCACATAGTTTGACCAGTAATTGCTAATTCCAGAAGTAGAGATGGGCTTCAAAGCTTTTCCCTTTTATCCAGTTTTTTTTTTTTTTGGCTTTCCATAACAATATTTAACATGTTAGGCTCAGCAAAGACATTCTCATGATCCAAAAATGGAGTTTCTCGACCATCTCACCTCCAGAATTAAGGCAAGAAAGAACCTGTCCCCTCACTATCTCCTCAGATAGGGATGCCCATGCAGCTGCTGTCATCCATCCCTTTTATACCCTGCCAAAAACCCAGTCTGGAAGAGGTCTCCACTGACATCTCGGCTGCCAATCAGAAAGGCCAATACTAGCCTTAGATAAATAAACCAATATTCTGGCCCAATATTAGGTAGCTCCTCATGTTCTTCTACGGTATTAATGCCGCGGTGGTTTTATGCACCCATCTTTTAGGAATTCTCCTCATGGGTCCCCTTCGAAAACTGAACGTTATCTCGGCCTTCCTCCCCTCAGCAACATTGGGAGTGGGTGGGGGGGAAGGGGCTCTTCCTTCACCACGCCATAGGTTTTATTAAATAAGAGAGAAAAGCTGGCGTCCCGAGATCCACGAGCCCCGCGCCCCCTCCCGGTTCCTCCCCCAAACTGCCTCGGCCATGCTCTCTCCCTCTGGGAACCGTTGTTGCCCTCCCTCCTGCGAGCGGCCAAGGCAAAAACAAAACAAAAAACGGGACTCCCGCCTGCTCCGTCCTCCACCCCGCCCCCCCCGCCTCGCTTACACTAACCGACGGCGACGATGCCAGACCCCAACCAGCACCAGAATTCCAGCTACTTCCGCCTGGCAGCGCCGGAAGCGAACCCATGGCAACCAGCCGTTCTACCCCAGCCCCCCCCTCCTCCCCGCGCCTTCCGTCGCTTTCGCTTGAAACCACGCCCCCTTCCTTCGAACGTAATGCACGCGCTGAGGAGGGGGCTTCCACAGGAGCCACGCCCTCTCCCTCTTCCCCTGTTTCGGATGTGGGGGGTGGGGTGGGGGTGGAGAGATGACTCGTTCCTTTACTAGAAACGGCCACGCCCAACTCCCGGATCGTGGGCGCCGCAAAGCGTCTCCTCCTAATAGCGACACTTCTCCGTCATTTCTTAACAGTAATGTTTATGTAGTGACGTAGAAGCCACTGTTAGGCTCGTAGCCACGCCTCTCTGCTTCGAGCGCTCCAATCTTCGCCTGGCAGTCTCCTCAAGCCACGCCCTCCTTTGGAACGCCTTTGCGCTCTTCGGTGGCGTCCGTGAGTCTCTGGCGCCCTCTAGCGGCTGAGAATAGGTGCTTGAAATTCGGTCCTGGATTGAAATGGGAAACATCAGCCTCTCTCTCTCCTTTTTCCTCCCTCCCTCCCTCCCTCTCTCTCTCTCTCTCTCTCTCTCTCTCTCTCTCTCTCTCTCTAGAAGGCGGAAATGGGCAAGTAGTTGATGCCATTTTTGGCTTCTACAAAAGTTGAAAATAATGCAGAGGAAAAACCGATTATGAGGCCAGTGTTTATAACTTTATTTTTCTTATATGTATCCATTTCATGTATTCATAACTATGTTTATACTTATACCTGTTATCTTATAATTGCTTGACAAAATAAATAAAAAAATAAATAAAATAAACTCCCTACCCTAAAACTACCCCCATTAATTGATTGATTAGGTATCATCGAATCATTGTTGACTCTTGGAGATCACATGGATTTCTCCATAATGAGCTATCATTAACCTGATCCTTCAGATCTTTCAATGGTGCCTCCATCAACACTGTAACTTTATTTTATTTATTTAGTTTAGTTCATCAAGCATGTATGAGAAAACAAATATAAGTATGAACATAACATATAAACATATAAGTATAAACGGGTATAAGTATATACATAATAAATTAGTACGAATAAATGGGAACTGTAGGACAGGGATGGTAGGCACGCTGGTGCTCTTATGCACACCCCCTTACAGACCTCTTAGGAATGGAGTGAGGTCCACGGTAGACAGTTTAAGGTTAAAGTTTTGGGGGCTTGAGGATGTAACTGAGCCATACATCTTGTTTTCTTGGCTGTCCATGCTGTTCTCAGGACTCTTCTCCAACACTGTAGAAAGCCAGCACCCATCCATTCTCCTAGAAAATGAAATATCTGGGGGAATATTAAAAAGGCAGGATAGAATATTTTCCCTAAAGGAGAAATGAGGAAAAATCTCAAGGGAAGCAGAAACCAGCCCCAGTCTCCCTGCCCCAGGCAGAAACAGAGGAGGTCAGCTTTTAGAAATGCAGTTCTGGTAATCTATTCAGAAAGACTGGGCCGGACAGAGACTCCAGATAAGCAACACATTTAGACAAGCCAAAGGTTGACAAGATTAGCTCAGACAAACACCTGGGATTTGCATTTCCCTTTTTGCCTATAGAGTCAGCCATGACCCCTACATGACCCCGTTGGAATCAAGAAGGTATAAAAACCCACCCACTCTCAACTCCATTTGGTCAGCTGTCCCAGAACTGCATGCTGTGTGTGTGTGTGTGCGTGTGTGTTGGTTCTGCTCATCAATAAATCTTTCTTAAGCAGCCTCCATTTTGTTCCCAGCTTGGAACTGGAACTGGATTTTGCTTCCAACAACATCAAGGTTCAAAATGTAAATATTTCCTGTCCCACCTTTCATTTCCATTGTCACAGGGGATACCATCACTTGCACAGTTCTGAGCTTTGAAGGTAGTCCTCGACTTAACAGCCCTTCATTTAGTGACTGTTCAAAGTTACAACAATAGCAATAGCAGTAGCATTTAGACTTATATACTGCTTTATCAAACTCTGGACAGCACTGAAAAAAGTGACTTATGGCCGTTTTTCACACTTACAACCATTGGAGCATTCCCACAGTCATGTGAACAAAATTTGGATCTTTAGCATGTATTTGCATGTATTTATGACAGTTAAAGTGACCTCTGCGACCTTCTGACAAGCAAAGTCAATGAGAAAACCAGATTCATTTAACAACCCTGTCACTAACTTAACAACTGCAAAGATTTCCTTAACAACTGTGCCAAGAAAGCTCGTAAAATGGGGCTAAACTCAGTTAATAACGCTCTTGCTTAACAACAGAAATTTTAGACTCAGCTATGATTGTAAGTCAAGGACCACCCATATACACATCATAGCATTAGAATATCACTTCCAAGGCTTTCATGGCTATTCCATCGTGGCTAGTCTGTTTCTTCGCTGCTTGTTCCTTTGCTGTTGATGATTGATCCTAAAAGGCAGAAGTTATCCCTCACTTCTATGTCTTCACTGTCAAAAATTGGGTTGCTGTGCAGTGGTGGGTTTCCAAATTTCTTCCTACTGGTTCTATGAGTGGTTCTATACATGTGCGCTTTGCACAGGGCTCAAAAACTGACCTCTGTCTGAATGCTGGTGAATGAGTTGAGCTGTTTTTTAGCTCAGCTGAGCCACAGCAATTTGCTCTGCCGCGCGAATCAACTGAGCTAAAAAAACAAGGGAATATAGGAGAGCTAATGGTGGCAGCGGGTGGGTGGGGCAGCCCAGAGGTGGTATTCAGCAGGTTCTGACCAGTTCTGGAGAACCAGTAGTGGAAATTTTGAGTAGTTCGGAGAACCGGCAAATACCACCTCTGACTGGAGAAGATTTTACAGTCTCCTTCCCCTGCCATGGCCACCAAGCCACGCCCACTGAACCGATAGTAAAACAATTTGAATCCCACCACTGGTGGGGCCAGTCAGAGGTGGTATTTGCCAGTTCTCTGAACTAGTCAAAATTTCTGCTACCGGTATGCCAGAACCAGTCAGAACCAGATGAATACCACCTCTGCTGCTGGGTCTCTTAAGGTGAACAAAATCTCCCATCAAAATTATTTGTTGCATGAAACCCAATCTAGTAACATGTGACTACATGTAATATTAGCCATCTAAAAAGGCAAAGGTTTGTAAGGCAAGAAGTGAGAGTGTGGATTTGCCTCTGAAAGGGGAAACATGGCGGGGCCCCAGTGCTGCAGAAGGCTCCAATAGCCTCCAACTTTGTTGCCTTCCACACACGCCCAGCTCTGGGATGGGTGGGCAGAGTCGGGCAAATCTTGTCCTAGGATGGCTCTTCTCACACATCTTTTGACTTGCCAGTTGGTAGGTACCTTTTTGCCCAGATTCTTGGTGGGTAAAAAAACATGAAAAAAGCCAAATGAATTTTCTGATACTAGTCAAATTGAAAAAGAACTCAAATTTCTGGAATTTGATGTTTTAAAAAAAGCCAATCTGACATTGTGTCTTTCTTTCTCAAACATTTGTCTTTTTTTTTTTTACTACAGTATACACAAGCATATGCTTTAAATAAAAATAAGCGTTAACCAGAATGCCATTTTGCCATCTTTGAAAACAAATCATGCTGTGTGCTCAGATATGAGGGAAAGTATACAGTGCGACTGAGATGTATTTTAATAAGCAATGTGACTAAAAAGTCAAACTGTTCTCACTGTTTGCATTATGGAGCAGATCCAGTTGCAGAAGCTGCCAATAAAAAGCTCCTTAAAGTCTGGCAAGCACCAGCAAATTAGCTAATATGGCAGTTTATCTGAATTCAAGATTGTAAGGCAGAGACTTAAATGAGATCCAATAACATCAAGTAAAATGCAGCATGTAGACGCCATACAAACTAAGCAGCAACAAAGTTGGAGATAATGTGAATTAATATATAATTAGAATACAACTGAATGCAATTAAAAACCCTGGGAAAATAAAAAGATCTTTACTCGATGCCAAAATGGTGCTAATATTGGTGCCAGTCATGCCTGACAGGGGAAGGAACTCCATAAATTACAGGTTTATTGTGGCTCCTGTTTATCCAGTCAATCAGTTAGAGTCAGACAGCATAGCAATCTTTGTAATAAATTAGTAACATTGGGTTCTGGGAGAATGGTGTGTTTCTAAAATGTACAAAACATTGGAATTTAGCTAATGACACTGGTTAAATGGCCAGTAAGAAGCCTTGTCTCAATCTACACACTGTAATGAATTGGTGGGTTTGTGTATGTCGAGAGAAGAACCTGTAATGGCTCTTAGGTAAGTGATGTGGTGATCCAAACTAAGAAATGATATATGGCTCAACTTTCAGGGGAGGTATGGGGAACTGAAGATGGCTCTGTGAAAGCAGAGACAATGACTGTGATGAAGTCCAAGGAACCAGTGAATAAATTAATTCTCTGGAACCTTTCTGGATAAGAAGAGGATAAGGAGAGACCCACACAGGGGTAGGATTCAAAAATCCCAGCAACCAATTCGCGGCCCAGTTGCTGGGTTGGTGTGGCCATGGTGGGCGTGGCCTACCAGAACTTCCGGGAGGTCCGTTTTTCACCTTTCCAAGGGTCCAGAGGCTTCTAGGAGGGTGAAAACGGCCTCCACCGGGCTCTGGAGGCCCTCCAGAAGTCGGAAACAGGCCCGTTTCCAGACTTCTGGAAGGCCCGTTTTTCTCTCTCCCAGAGCCTCTGCACGGACCCTGCACTTACCTGCATCGAAAATGGGCCGTGTGGAGACTCCTGGGAGGGGAGGGGTGGGCTCAGTCGGTTTGGCTAACCAGATGCAAATTTAACATCTGCTTCGCTCAAACCAGTCTGAACCAGTGGAATCCCACCCCTGGACCCACATGTGTTTCAAATGGCT